ACGCTGGTGCTCCAAGTCCAGAACCCACACTCACAACCACTGCTTTAAGCGTTTCGGCTTAAATACCTGTTTAAGTGTCCTCTGTGATTCGTCAACCCTAACTTTCCATTTGTTTTCTTCTTGCTCTACACTTCTCTGGAGCTTCTGTAAAATCCCTTCCTACAGACAAAAATACACTTATTTTGAACATGTCATGTGCACATGCCAACACAAAGTAGGTCACTAGGGGAAACGTTCATGATTTTAAAATAAATAAAGCTAAACCCAGACTGAAACCCTCTCTCACTGTTTCTGCAAGGACAGACTTGTATTTTTCACACTCTAGCTGTAACAAGGAGTGCATCTCATCAGCCTCTTTCAACTTGTGCTCTAGAACCTGCAACAAATGAAATAAAGAAAAAGCTCCCATTTAATCTCACCAGAAAGTTTTGTACTTCAAATTTGTTTCAATACTCAATGGCATAATATGATAACTGGCTTCAAACTATTTTACAATGAAACACTACATTACTACACCCTATGTGACAATGAAGTTCAATGATCTTTACATTTGGTTTTTGTTGTTGTTGCTGTTGTTGGCATTATAATGAAACCGATTAAGTCTGCTTACTAAAAAATGTATCACATCACTGTATAGTAGGTTTTCAATCTTTAGCTGGATAGTAAAATCAAAGGATACAAAGTGAAGTAAGATCACAGTGCCTCTACTACACAAATGGGAAAGAATTATTATTCATGCTACTTTCAATTTAAAAAATAAAATCCCCCAAACCTCAGTTGCCAACTTAAAAACCACACACACACACACACACACACACAATTTCTGAACACTCCTAATAATGATATTTTCAGATGTTTCCGCAAACTAATCAGGTTCTGCTATCTTAACAGATCTTGACTTTTTAAACTTAGGTTAAAAGGGGATTAGCATGTAACTACATATTCAGTCTTAAAACTGATTAAGACAGAGTAAAGGAGTAGTGACCATTAGTATTATGCACAAATCAAATTGTAAGGAAGACTTAACATTTCCACCAAGTTTTTCACAAGATAAACTATAATACACCTGATCAAAAGATCATTATTCTCCTCACATAAACCCTGTATCTCCCCCCAACTTCATAGAGACAAACTGAGTTGCTTCTTTTTTCCGTGTGTGGTTAAAATGCAGACCCTTCGCTTCTTGAACTAACCTTAACCTCCTCTGAACTTGAAGATTCAGTCACACATTCTTTTGCCTTCTTTTCAAATCCACGTAACCATTCACTATAACTCTGGCAGGGGAAGAAAAGTCAAAATAATCAATTTCCAAAAATATTTAAATGAGAACTGTATGTAGACACAGTCTCAAGAATCAAGTAGCTAAGGCTCACATTATACACAGATCAGGTGGCTCTTTTTGATTAACAGGTCATTCCCCACCCCCCTTCCCTGTCACCCAATCCAAGGAACCTGAGCTCCTCAGAGAAGGGTCAAGTCCAAATTTGTAGCAGGACATGAATACAAACAAAAAACAAAAAACCCAGAATCAGAAACACCTTGCCATACAACAAAACAAAAACATGATCAGAGTTTCACGTCAAAAAACCCACAGCCAGCCTAAAAAAATTCCAACCAAACCCAAACCAGTTGCCATCTGGTCGATGCCCATTTCTGACAAGGCTATATGCTGCATTCCGTAGCGTTCTCAATGGCTGTCACCCTAGAAAGGAGATCTTTCTTCCTTTCTTCCAAGGCGCCTCTGGGTGGGCTCTACCCTGTATGCTTTTAGAGAGCAGCCAAATGCTCACCAATCCGTTTGACGTCTCAGAGCTCCTGCTGCCACCCAGCCAACCCCAACCATGAGCTTGAATAGGATAAAAACTTCTACACTCAACTTCTAACACATGGGATATGCAAACGAGAGAGAAGCACCCCCGTACCACTGGTACAGTCAGCTAAATCCACACTATTGGAAATGACATGGGAAATCCTAGGTCAAAAGAGGGTGCTTGGGCGGGAGAGTCTGAGGAGAAGCAAGGAAGACCTAAGAAATATTTTAAACCAATCAAAACACAGTGACGATGTTTGGATCCTGATTAAAGCAAACCATAACTATTATTTAGTTAAAAAAAATAGACAATTTATGTAATTAGGAAATGTGAACACCAAGTCATTATTAAGGATTTAAAAAAATTTTTATAGCATTTTGGTGGTTTGGGTTTTGTTTTGCTTATTGAAAGAATTATCTATTAAAAATGCATACTGAAAATAATTGCAGGTGAAACCTGACATCTGATGCTTACAAGTCATCTCGGATGTGCTGGCTGAGAGGTAAGACTCAAGTGTGTATTGACACATGCCACATACTGATAACTGCTAGTTGAGACACTGGGTACACTGGGCTTATTCTGTTATTCTCTTTATTTCCGAATATGTGTAACAATTTTCCAGTCAGGTCCTTGAAGGGCTACATCATCAGGTAGGGAAACAAGCTTTTCCTGCCTACAAATAGTTGCTTGATGAATTCTCTGAACTAAGCTGAGTTTTCTCTCAATGAAAATACACAACCTCAAGTAAATCCAGGTGTTCTATATGAGCTTCAAGAATTTTGCTTGGTAAGTTAATGGATAATAAAGCTTTGAAATACAAAAAAATCTAGCCCATAGTATTTACATTTAATGTAATTTTATGGTGTTCCTAAAATTTTTGAAAAAGCAATCTCTTACAACTACCTTCTATTTCTATTGAGAACTTTATTGATATAACCTTAATGAAATATTTTTCTTAAATATATTTATAACCCTCCAAGTAATGTCTCATGCGTAATGTTTGTAGAATAAAATAAAAGTATCAGTGGAGGAAATAAAAAATAGTTTGGAGCCAAGTTACTGATGCGAAGTACTCAAAAGCGCGCAGGTGAACAGTAGGGCTGATTAAGGCGTCAACACACCATCAAAACCAAGTGCAGAGTCCAAACTGCTGTGCCCCGGGGGTTCTCTGAATCATGCCAAACGACTCGTGGAAAAGACTTCATGAATCTTACCAAATTAGATGGGACAGACACCTTCGGAAATAATTTTTTCAGAACTTCTTTAGCTTCCAACTCCACCGCTTCTAAATGTTGTTGTCTTTCCTAAAGCAGATGATAAACCAAATCATGTTTACAAAATTACAGAATTTTAAGAGGCAGGTGCTAGTCTTTTAAACCTCGAGAGGTGAAAAGGTCATAGTATTTAAAGCATTAATTTCAAAACTGACAAATGTCTAACATTTCCCATTTTAATGTGTCAAAACAACTTCATAAGAAAAATATTTGCATGCAACTAATATTACAAAACAAGATTATTTATAAACTGCAGAGTGGAAAACTGTATCTGCTCTGTAAATTTTCATCCAAACTGTAACTAAAAAAAAACAACAGCGGAAAAATCTATATCTTTGAAAATTGTTATATCCACTAGATTAAAATAAATCTGATAATATGGACATTTTATTTTCCTTGTACTAGAAATCAAATCATTTTCAGGCCCAGGATCAACTCATTTAAAAATGAAAGCACTTCTTACAGCTAAATGCTAAACTGCATGCACTAAAATAATGTATCTGCACAACACAACAGTGGCTCACTGGCTGGCAGATATCTCAACAAGAACAACAACACAACCCCCCACAGTACTGAGGGGCCATGTTGCTATGGGGACTTTGTAGTCGCTGTGCGTGCATTGTTGGGCTGCTAACTGCAAGGTCAGCAGTTTGACGCCACCAGCTGCTCTGAGTGAGGAAGATGGGGTTTTCAACTCCCTATACCATTACCCTCGCCTATAGGTGCACTATGAGTCAGTATCAACTCGATGACAGTGAGTTTGGGTTTGGGGTTTTGGGGTGGGTTTTTTCCCCACTTTTATTCATATTTTCAGTACACCGACATTTGAAGTTGTTTATGCTGCTGAAACAAAGCAAGAAAAGGCCACAATTTGATCAGTGGCACATATGGAAAACAAAGGAAGAGGATTAAGTTGATGGTGTAATATTTCACTAATGCCAGGCAGCATTTTGAGTACAGCCTCTCTCTGTTGTAAATTCAAAGAGAGGTAACACAGATGTATATACAAGGGAAGCATCAAAAAGTTCAAAGAAAAATGTCATGTCTTTTATTTCATTTCCTACCAATTTTTAAAAGTCCCCTCATGTCTAAATTTGGTTAATTTAAATCCAAACCTAACAGAGATCCATGATAAATTCCAAACCATAGTTTGTCAAAATTAGGGTAATGATTTAATCACACACCAAAACCCAACTAATAACCAAACTATCTCTACCAGAATAAAAACAAACATTTATGAAAATACACATCTAAGTCAAATCACAAAAATCGTCTCAAAATAATACTTGACAAGTTCAACAATTAGCTCTCAAACCTATCTTTCTCCTCTATAAATGTGATCTGCGAAATCGATTACTGATTAAGATGTACATGCCTCAACTTAAATCCAACCACATGAAAATCTAAATTTATAGAAAAAAGGCATAAAATAAGTATTTTCTACAAACACATAAAAGCTGTCATTTAATTAAAAACCAGTGGCAACATTTTCTAATTGGAAGTTTTAATTGGGTCACTTTATTAATTCAATAAAGACCACTATTTTCCAGGAATACACTTATCTGTATTCAAAACAGTAATTAGCTGCTATTTCACAGATAATGGATAGATCACTTTTAGCACTTGCTCACGAAAGAGGGAGAGCAATCTTTTAAAATAGTGAATTAAAAAGAGAGAGAGCCCTGGAACAGAAGACAAAAAGTGTCTAACTTATAACAAAGTGTTCCAATGATGAGTTATTTTTATGGCTGTTTTAATAATCTTAGCTATAATTTTTTGATTTGACATAATAGCAATTTCCATTGAACTTTAAGCCCTGGGCAGTATTAACAGTTGCTTTATTCTATTTCTTTACTATCTTTAAGTGTAACATACAGTCAGGCTTTGGCATCTGTGGGGAATTCGTTTCAGGGCCCCCAGGACACCAAACTCTCCAGATGCTCAAGTCCGTTGATGAAATGTTGTCGCATTGGGTTAGCTATTAGGCACAGTCTCTGGCATACTTCATTACCTAGATCAGCGGTTCTGAACCTATGGGTCGCAACCACTTTGGGGGTCGAATGACCCTTTCACAGGGGTTGCCTGACTCATAACAGTAGCAAAATGACAGTTATGATGTAGCAACGAAAATAGTTTTATGGACGGGTGGGTCACCGCAACATGAGGAACTATGAAAGGGTTGCAGCATGAGGACGGTGGAGAAGCACTGATCTAGATTACGTAATGCCCAATATAACTAAGAACTGTGTAAATAGCACTTTATACTCCCTCTTAAGACGTTGAAGGATTGGCTGGGCCACTTTGCCCTCACTTCACCCTCCAATATTTTCAATCTGGCTGGTTGAATCCACAGGTAGAGGACCCACAGATACAGAGGGCCAGATGTATGTAAAGTATCTCTTAGTTAGCCTGTCATCTACGACAACTTCTCAAGGCTATTTCTACTTTACAAACAATCCTGAAAGACAGTATATATCATGTTAGCTAGGACTACTCTTCTTTCTCTGTCCATAGTGCTCCTCCTTACCACACAATTTGTGGCACTAGGGCAATCACCAACACTCTACACTGAAGGTATTTGAAGAATGGCTAAAATTCCACTGAAACACAGAGGACAGAGAGTCTAGTCTCCAGAGACCATTAGCTATCAAGGCAGCTCAATGGTGAGTTCTGAGATATGGTTACATTCCAGCTTTCTATTAGAATTTTAAAATACATTAAGAATGCATATACACAGGTGGCAGATAACTTCTTGCAGGATTGGTATATTAAATAAGAGATGAGCATCTACTACTGGATATATGCTAATTCATTGGCAAAATAAATGCTAAAAGGCAGCTTTTGATAGTGAAAAACAAAGGTGTAGAAACAAACTACACTAGGCCTCGCATTGCTATTAGAATCAATCATGCATTTACAGCCACTCACAACAAAATATTAATCCCCTAGTAGGTCTAGGTTTCTCTGACCCTAATACCTGTCCGCATTCACTAATAACGACTTTAGTGAAAATTAGGACTAGGTGAGTATTATTTAAAATCCAGTAATTACCTTAGCTCAATAAATGCTTCTAGAATGCTGAACCAAATCACAGTTTCTTTCATTCTGGCCATGGTCATTTGATTTTTAGAAAAACTTCTCAATGATCAATCATTAGGAATTGCCACAACTATGAAATAACTAGATCCCAGAGAGAGTACCTATCCTCAATTTGAAGACAGAGGGGAACAGATAGCTCCAGAGTACTTTAAATACTCTGGTCAAGAGAAGTATCACTTGACATTGCAATATCATACAGCACAGAACACAGGTGACTCACTGCTGTCCAGCTGCCTCAAACCCGAAAGTTCAAGTCTGCCTCATCTGGAAAACCATCTCCATAACACACCCAGCAATGGTCCCTTTCCTGGGTTTCTTGAGACTTTCAACTCTTTCTATCTTTTCAGAGGTATGCTGGTGTGATCCAAAGAAACTAGGTGAGCTTGTTGCACACTGTAGGTATGTCTTAGGTATTCGAATGTGTTTATTACATGGATATCATTTGGGTGGGGGGGGCAATTCAGGGATTTCATCAAAGTTCTTTCTTCAACAACCTAGGAGGCACACAAACACTGTCTGACAAGAGCTCATATGGGTAGCACACAGGTCTTCTGGCATTCTCCAGATTAAAGTGGTATTCAGCAAAACTTAAACAATTAGGTAACCCCAACACATCAGCATGCCCAAACTTAAAGCTTCAAGGAGCAGATGAGAAAAAGCAGAGATGATAAATGTGGGTGGTAAGATGTGATATTTAAATTGCAGTAAGACTGAATCATTTAGTCTGAGTTTCAGACAGCTGCAGATTTTCTCTGAGCAAAGGATGGTTTCTAGGAGCGAGCATTACAACCTTGGCAGTCTTGTTCACTCTGTCCTGCAGCATTTTTTCAGTTGATGCCAATGCTTCCATTGCTTCCCAGTTTTTCTCCCGAAGGTCCTAGTCATTTTTAGAAAGAATGATTTCAGTTTTTCCATTATTGAAAGATTTTTGTTTTTATTTCATCAGTGTTTTGCACTGCATTTAAATGCTGGTTACTGCAAAATTATTCCAATGGGAAAGTATGTATATTAGCAAAAAATAAAAATAAAAGCCATGTTTAGAAGTTTGAATGAGGAAATAAAGAAGTCCACTTCCCTTGTATTAATACAAACAGCACACATGCCAGCCTTAAGGAAATTATTATGTACATGTGACAGAGCAGAGAGCATTCAAAGGTAAACTCAGAAATGAAGATTACAGGTACATTAGCAGTAGAGGATCAAAAAGAAAGGAAGTACACAAGTATTGCAAAAAGTTTTACATGTAACTTCCAGACAAGGCTCACTGTCATTCATGGGACTTGGCGCGACAACATATTTTTCTCTCTCTAAATATGGTTTAATAAAGTTAATGCATTTGAAATCTACCTACGAATAACATACTAACTCACTGTTGCTTCTACATCTTTCTGGCCATGGTCAAATGCGTCTGCCCTAAAGTACCGTATGTACGTGAGTATAAGCTGAGTTTTCCAGCACATTTTTTAATACAGTTTTTGTGGTAATTTAGGTGCCTCGGTGGATATTCGGGTTGGTTTATACTCGAGTATATTCGGTAGCCTGGCTCAAATTGCATTCAATAGTTGACTAAGTCAAACGGGGAGACTGGAAACCTCTAACACATTCTCTTGAAAGAGAAACACAAGGCACACATTTCGGTCTTTCTTCGGTTAGAAATACCACCAAAAAAAAACCACCCACAAATTCACTGCCATCACGTCAATACTGACTAACAGCGACCAATTATGGGTTTCTGAGACCGTTTATTGTTTATGGGAGTATATGGCCTAGTCTGTCTCCCACAGAGCTACTAGTGGTTTTGAACTGCCGACCATGTGGATCTCAGCCCAACATGGTACCACTACACCACCAGGGTTCCTCCAAGAAATAAAGGTAACACAAAAATAAAACGCCAACAATTGCCATCAACTGATTGCCTACTCATGTGCCAGACAAGATACTTGGCAATTCACATCAATTCTCATTAATCCTCCTGACAACCTTTTTTCCCGTTTTTACAATGGGCAGGCCACAGCTCGAGTAGGTTCAGAAATCTGGCCAACCACATTCAGCAAGTCAGGTGATGAGAATGGTTGGCACTGCAAGCCGTGAAGGTTGAGGTTGCTTCTCCCATACTTCCAGGCCTGCAACCCAGCCACTGCATTCGACGGCCAGGACCATGCACCCTCATCTCAGAATCCAATAAAGAAACACAGTCAAAATGTTAGCAGTACACTGGCAAGTTCACCTCAAGTTCTGTGAATAAGCTGTCCTGTTAGTAATGTTACACGAGCACACACAAAGGGCTGTTCGCATACCTAATTTTGACAAACTCAGGGTGCAGGAAAATGCCAATTTGTCAAATTAATAACAATACAAACTTTGAAAATTTTAACTTACATTAGTAAAATGCACATTGATTATATCAATATCCCTTTGATTAGCCTTCCTTAAAACTCCTTCTCTACAAAGAATGTGTGGACTCTACTCATAGGTGTCACCTACTCAATTATCTATTTGATCAGAACCTTAAGATTTATATTTTTTAAAGCCCTAGCCCTTCTTAATCTGCATATATACTCGAATTCGGAGGCCCCAACACACTTACGTGAGATAAAACAGGGAGGTTCTCAAAGCCTTTGAAGATTCATTTCAGTATTGAATAGCTCAGTTGGAATACTAGCATTACTTTTAGTTTACAAAAATCCAGCCCAATCAGTGTGTGAGGAAATACCTCTGATTTTAAAACATGGTGTTAATAAAAGTTCTTTTCCTAAATAGTTCAATAGAAAGTCTTTCTACACCAGTGGTGTGAGTGGTGATACTAGGAGGGTAGAGGGAGAGTGGGTAGGAAAGTGGGAACCGATTACAAAGAACTATATGTGACCTCCTCCCTGGGGGACGGACAACAGAAAAGTGGGTGAAGGGAGACGTCGGACAGGGCAAGATATGACAAAATATTAATTTATAAATTATCAAAGGTTCATGAGTGAAGGGGGAGTGGGGAGGGAGGGGAAAATGAGGACCTAATGCCGGGGGTTTAAGTGGAGAGGAAATGTTTTGAGAAGGATGAGGGCAATAAATGTACACATGCGCTTTACACAATTAATGTTTGTATGGATTGTGATAAGAGTTGTATGAGCCCCTAATAAAATGATTTTAAAAAAAAGAAAGTCTTTCTACTATCTTTTTGTTTAAAAAACATGCAAAAACAGCTAAATCTGTAATAATTATACCTTCCATATTTAAAACTATTTTGACAAGTTATGGTCTTTTCACTTATTCATTTAAAAATAAGCTTTCTAATAAAATTACCCTCAAATAGCCCACCCTACCCCCCAAAACAGGCTACACACAGAAAAACAACAGTCCTCTCCTAAAAAGATTTAACAAGTCTGAAGTGAAAGTAGTTTCCAAAAATAAATAAATAATTGTCCAAGTAATTGTCCAAATAATTGTTCAAGTAATAAAAATAAACACTGTGCAGTTAAATATTTGCTTACATTGTTTTTCTTCCTCTGGTGTTCAACAGCATCCTTCAAAGAATCTAACTCACTCTGGAGACCAATTATTTCTCTCTCTCTCTCTGAAATTCTAAACCAAAACATGAATACATATAGCAATATTTTCAGGCAAATAGTGAATGCAACTTAAATACTCACATATCAACATTGGTAACTGCAAAATCAAATTACCGTGGGGATGGTGCTTCACTAACTGGTTATCTCAGAAAGCCTAGCCTACAAATTCTTCTTTTCAGAAATACCTCTTCAAATAGGTTTTTCACGCACAATATGACATGCTGAAGGTTGTGCTCAAGAGAAAAGAACATCATCTCCTGAGAAACAGCACATGAACACAAGAATTGCTCCAGTTGGTCAACTGCAGGAGCTATTGTCAGGGGAGATAGAAGGCAAGGAACTCGGTTATGACTCTCTCTGAGGCTGACCCACAAGAAAAGCCTAATTTGAAAGTCAGCCGGCTATTCTCTTACTCTCTAACGACCAAAGAACTCTGGTCCAGTCTAATGAGCTAGTTATTTTTCAGAAATGCGAAAGGACAACAGCAAAAATGTGCAATGCTAGCCTACAATAGCAGAGAGAGGTTACGGTAGCAGGCTAAATTACAATACTCTTCCCTGAGACTGGGTTCTATATATAAGGAGTTGTGAAAATAGGGCCAGACCCTGGCTCACTCAGTCCACAGCCTGTTTTATGATGAACCCCCCCGCCCCAAAGCCGAAAATATTTACTAGCAGGCTCTTTACAGAAAAAGTTGGCCAAGCCCCGTCTACACGGTCTAACCTTTGACTCAGTGTAACAATAAGTAATGCTATCCTAGTAAATCACCAATCTGTAAACACGTCAGGGTGGGAGAAGAGCTAGGTCACTTCTATTACTAATTTACCTCACATTTAACACGTTGAAACACGCTATCTTAACTGAAATGATCAAAAATATAGCCTGTTAGGAGAAAATGACAGCCTGGCACAAATAATAAAAATATAAAATGCTTTTTAACAAATCACCTTCATAAACAAGGAGTCATAGAAGACTGTTGTGAGTTTAAAATAATAAGACACTACACCAAAATCTGTTATTCAATTCCAGAATGAGATCAGGGTTGAGATAACTTATAAAAGTAGTTTAATAGTTTCTGAATACTTGGAAGAGAAAAATAAATAAATTCAAGCATCTTTCTCATGAAAATATTCAGACATCCAAATACTCTCCCATAGCCCCAGAAGTAGAATTGCTTTAGCTCAGTCAGAAGTAGAATTAAGCTCTACTGACCCAAATACAACTGTGACAATTAAATGGCCATCTGCAGTTACATTTAATGGCTTCCTGAAAAACTGTATTTTATAGCACAAAGAATAGTTGTCACTTTCCAAATTGTGAAATGAACGTGTTACTTACACTTTTAACATTTCTTCCTGAGGGAAAGGAGGAGACACCTATTAAAAGAGTTAAAAGTACTTTCAAAACACAGCTTTCTAAGAGTCTTCAAACAATTGCTTTTCAGATCTCTATTAAGACAACAACAGAGGGGAAGCTACCATACCTTCCAAAGTGAGAGCCCTCGGTGTTAGGAGCCCTGGTGGCATAGCCCCATGGCCACCTAATACAACTCTGGGGACTTTCACCGAGTGATTTCAATGAAGCATGTACAAGCTGGTACAACATTACTGAGCATTAAGTCCAATCTTCACTGTCACAACATACTTACACAAACTTTTCACTGACCATTGGTCAATTTCCTACAATGAGCAAAGTACTTAGCAGACACCTTAAATTTTCATACTCTAAATTCAACTGTGTGGACCGTAACACTCTATAACACTGCGAAGAAAATTCAAGAACATTTCATTGTGTTCAGACCGGCCTCCTATATGTGGGCTCATTTAAGCAGAACAAGGGAATGCCGCTGCATGGTTTGAAATCAAGAAAGGTGGGTCTACTGAACTGGCAACTGAGAATGCCCCCTGGCCACTTTGGGCTTTTTATGCCTTTGGATCAACAGGTCAGGAAGGGTGTCACTGTACTGAGTGGTGTGATTGATCCTGATTACCAAGGAGAAATTGGACTGGTGTTACCTAATGGAGGTAAAGAAGAATATGTCTGGAATTCAGGAGATCCCATAGGCCGACTCTTAGTGCTACCATGCCCTATGATTAAAGTAAATGGTAAATTACAGCAACCCAATCCTGACAGGACTTATAATGACCCAGACCCCTCAGGGATGAAGGTTTGGGTCACCCCACCAGGTAAAACACCACAGCCAGCTGAGGTGCTTGCTGAGGGCAAAGGTAATACAGAATGGGTAGCAGTAGAAGGTAGTTCTACCTATCAATTACGACCACGTGATCAATTGCAAAAGCGAGGTTTGTAATTGTCAATGTATTTTCTTTTTATGTGTTTATTGCATATCTTTCCTTCATTCAGGTATATCAGATACAATTGGGCTGTGTTTTCATTTATATGTATGATAGACAATTGATGATAAGTATATATGGCTAAAGAATTGTATACAGGTACCAGGTTGGCAAGGGGTGGATTGATATAGTTTCTTATGCCAGCCTGGCTGATAAATACAAGTAGGATTAACTGAAGGGCGGAGAGATAATGGCTCAGTGAGCCTCATCTTTCTTGTCTCTTGCTCTTTGATCATCGGACCAGTGTGCGGCTACCTTGCTCGTTCTTTGCCTCAATTTATAGGCTACACTACCTGTTGGACGCCTAGCCTGTGGACTGTGTCTCTGTACGTTGAGGTCCCTTTAAGGCATCTCTGGAGCTGGGGACTGGCAGTTGGGACTGGTGGTCAGTTGACAGTTGGTGATCTGCCTTATGATTGGCTTATGATGTGCTGAGATAGCCTCACTCTATAAATAGAGGGCGATCTAGCAGCACAGAGTTGAGAAGGACTGCTAGTCTCTCACAACTCTGAGCCATCTGTAGTGCTTATAATTTAACTGTTCATTTGTTATATTTATCTGTATATAATTTAACAGTTCATTTCTTGTTATATATCTAATTATCTTTATAAATAAATATCAGTAATTTGGTTTTATCTCTCTATAGAACCCTGTCTAACACAGTGGGTGTCAGGATTTCCCCTCTCACCATACGGATTTAATCTGTGTGTTGAGCAAATGAACTCAGGAGCTGGATGACATGAAGGAGAACTGCAGCATCAGGATTGGAGGAAGGCTTATTAACAACCTTCAATGTGCAGACAACACAACTTGCTTGCTCAAAGTGAGGAAGACGTGAAGCACTTGCTAATAAAGATCTAGGACCCTTGCAACTCAAATATAAAGAAAACCAAAATTCTCACAACTGAACCAACAGTGATATCAAGACAAACAGAAAAATGACTGTAGTTGTCAAGGATTTTGTGCTGCTTGTATCCACGGAACCAGAATGCAAGAGATCAAAGGACATGTTACATTGGATAAAGCTGCCACACAAGACCTCTTTCGAGTGTTGAAGAGCAAGGATGTCACTGAGGATTGAGATGCACCTAACACAAGACATGGTATCTTCAATTGCCTCATATGCATATGAAATTGAGTAAGAAAGACCGAAGAAAAATCAATGTGTTTGAACTACGGGATTGGTGAAGAATACTCAAAGTCCCATGGGCTGTCAAAAGAACAAACAGATCTGTCTTGAAGAGTATAACCAGAATGCTCCTGAGAGGTGAGGATGCTGAGATTTCATCTCACATACTTTGAACATGCTGCCAAAAAAAAGAGAGAGAGAGAGGAAGAACCTTGATGGGATGGACTGACACAATGGCTACAACAATGGGCTCAAACATTTGTGAGGACCGTGCAGGTCTACACAGCCTTTCATTCTGTTTTATGTAGGGTCACCATGAGGCATGTCATGGCTTGATGGCACCTAACAAAGTTGTGCAGTGTGAAATCTATTAATTTGACTCCATGAAAATGTCAATCTCCTCACGGCACCTTCCCCCCACCCTCCCCCAGGGGAAAAAAGGCCACAACTAATCATGAGAGAAAAATCCATCACCTCGTTGTTATGGATTGAATTATGCACCCCAAAAATATGTGCTATGAATCTTAACCTCTCTGCCTGTGGCTATAACTCCATTTCCCAAATGGGTTGTCTTTGTTATGTTAATGAGAACAAATTAGCTCTGTCTTTGTGTGTTCCTTAAATCAATCTCTTCTGAGATATGAAAGAGGTTAAGCAAGAGAAAGAAACAGACTTGGGGGATAAGTGATGTCAAGTCACGAGAAGATCAATCACCCAGGAGCCGAAGCTCAGAGAGACAAGGACCTGCCTCCAGAAACAATGGAAAGTATTCCTCTACTGCCAGGACCCTGGGTTTAGTAGGAATTAATTCAGTGGCAGTGTTTTTTTGTGACAAAATGAATTTTTGTTTGTTAAAACCAGCCTTTTGGGGTATTTGGGTTAGAGCAGCACTAGGCACTTAACAACTAAAGGATATAGTTCTTCACTTTTGGCATTTCTCATTAATGTCTCTCAAAAATATTTATTATTTATATGGACATGTTCACAAAATAAATTAATTGAATGAAAGTTTTGGTAGCATCTTCAGAAATGTTTTGTTTATGTTTTTTTCCTTTCATTTTTACCATAGTGTTAATCTTACAAGCCTCGGTTTTTCTCTAAGTATTCATATTTGAGCAAGGAAGCAAAGGTTTAGAGCACACACTGGTCTAGACTAACTTTTACAGGACTTTACCTGGCTTGCTAAGAACAGCACTGGAGAGGACCAGGACATGAGCACAGACGCACAAACAGACCTGGACTACAATGAGTAACATTATCTGTGTTTGGACACAAATTGTACACTGGACATGAATATGGCATAGCAAATTTTCACCTTGGATATGACATAGTAAATTGATTTTTTTTTTTTTTAGGAAACAAAAGGAATGCTTATAAATGAAAGAACACACTATGCTTTCAATACAAAGGTAAAAATAAGCAAGATTAGCAACAGTATTGGTGATATAATTTAGTGCCCCAGAAATAAAAGACAAGGCACCCAATAAAAGTACCAACCTCTTGGTAGTTCTGATGTGTAAGCTGTTCAATTTGCGATTTAAACAATTTGTTTTCGTCTTGCACCTCCTGTTGAAATAAATATTACACATAAATACCTGAATAGGAATTTTTTATTTTTCATGTAAACTTTTGAAACATATGAAATAAACTATGAAAAGTCAAAATAATTTTGTGTTTAATAAGTTGTGTTATATACTAAGATTTACTATGATATTGAAGTAATCTCTTTAGCACTAGCCTGAGAAAAGCCATGTCTTAATGAAACAAAACAGAATATAGAAATAGACCCAAATAAGGATTTAGGATGGGGTGATTTTTCAAATCAATGTGGCAAGATTTCCTAATCGTGACACTCGTGGCATTTGGAGGACATTTCTTTGTTGCAGGGGGTCTGTCCTGTGCACTCTTGGATGTTTGGTCACAACTGTGGCCTCTACACCACAAGATTAGACTGGCAGTCCTCCACCAGCTGTTACAAACACAAGTGTCTCCAGCTACTGCCAAATGTCCCAGGGGAACAGGACCACTGCAGTACGGTGAGGTTAACGAGGTGATGTAACAACATGGTTAGCAATTTCCCTCCCTAAACAAGCTAGACTGGGAACATCACAACCAACCCTGAAAAGAATTACATATGAATACAAAATTCTAGATGACAAATATATTGCAAATGAATTTGAAGCAAACATCTGAAAATTAGTTTTATGATCACAGACTGTGAGACACCCTATCTTCTCAAGATGTAAAATTTAGGAAATTATTCAAATTTGAATGAATGTTTGCAAGCGTTAGCCCTCCAACTGAAGAGAAAAAGCACAAATATTATTAAAAGAAGAAGACATATCAACTCATAGAATAAGGGCTTAATCTTTCTTATTATGTAAATGAGATATTCATCTTTTAAAGGAGAGGAAACTCAAAGAAAAACTGTGGAGAAGGTGAAATTCATGTTTAAAAAAGTCTTAAATTTTTGAATGAACCTTAATTTCTCTCACAATTAAAAGCATTTTTAAATTATACAGCCATCTTTGATAATATAACATCAAATGTTTTCAGCTTAATGTGGGAATGGGTGAAGGAAAAACCGCAGGGATGGAGTGGAAAATGGTTTTTTACATGACTGGCGCATGCGGGAATGCCACAGACTCCATCTTCAGAGCATGGTATGTGGCAGCACTGGCCTGCGGCAATGTAGGAACCTACAAATCTATGGGCATTTCAAACCAATTATATGTAAGTAGTTTCACTATTAATTACAGATACAGATTCTACACTTTAAATTATTTGTTTTTTCTTTAAGACAAATATGCTATTCACCCAGAAATTTCACTACTTGTTATTTATGAGTGGGCTTCAAAAAGTTCGTGCAAAAATTGAATTAAAAACACAATCAAATTTCTCCACAAACCATTTAAAACTCCCTAATATGCCTATATTTACAAAAACATTCAAAATGTGTGCAAGGCTATTCACTGCAACATAGTTCCCAACAGGAAAAACAACTCTAAGCAATACAGTATCCATTGGTCATATATATGATCAAACACATGATACAACAATACAGTAAGATGGAGCATGTGCTTATATAGAAAGAACTAAAATTCAGTAAATTGGGAGCGGTGGGATCAAGAATTCAAAAGCATACACACTTAAATATGTCCATTACCGACTACTGTTAAGTCTTTTAACTCATAGTTTTCCTATTAGATAAGAGTAGAACTTCCCCCCATAGAGCTCACAAAGCTATAATTCTGCCACATTTGCCTCCTGCGAGGTGACTGGGGGGTTGTTTGAATGCTTCCCTCTTTGCCTATGTACAAGTTCCACATGATCACAATGAAGTGTTCTGGAATTGCACTCTTCGGAATGTTAGTAATAGTTTCTGATCTACACAGTTGATTGCCTTTGCAGTCAAAACACACACACACACACACAAAGTAAACATCGTCCGCTATCCGTGCTTTCAACCAAAGTCCATCTGTCATCAGAATCATAGCCCGTATGTCATGTTCTCTTCTGAATCTGGCTTAATTTATCTGGCAGTTCACTGTTGATGTACTGGTGCAACCATTAGTACTCTTCAGCAAAATACTGCTCGATAATTTCCATATTCGGTTGAGTCGCCTGTCTTTCGGATGGGCACAAATTTTTTACTCTTCCAGTTGGTTGGCCAGGGAGCAGACTTCCAAACTTTCTGCCATAGGCAAAAAAAAATCAGCCTGAAATCAGTTTTTTGAAACATTTCGATAGGTATTCTGTCGGATCCTGAAGTCGTGCTTTCTACTAATCCCTTCACTGCAGCTTGGACATGATCAGATACTACTTCTTGAAACGGCAGAATGTCAACCAATTCTATTTGGACAGCACCTCTGTTTCCTGCATCATTCAATACTTTATGGAATTTTTCAATACTGCAACTCAAACCTTGAGCTTTTTATTCATTTTCTTTTGCCTGAGTTATGCCAAGTATGTTCTCTTTGATTTTCTAACTCCAGGTCTTTGCACATTTCATTATAATACTTTATCTTCTCCAATCCTCTGAGATTTTCTGTTCAACTCTTTTACTTCATCATTTCTTCCAAATGATTTAGCTGCTCTATGCTCAACAACAGGTTCCATTTTGGTCTTTTCTTTGTCTTTTTAATGACACTTTACTTTCTTCATGCATGATGTTCTTGCTCTAATCCTACGATGTTCTTGCTGTAATCATCTGGTCTTCTGTCATTAGATGTTCTCTAAATTGATTACTCTGTGTTCTATCTGGCAAGTTCCACATGTACAGTCACCATTTGTTATAAAAAGGCTTATTTGCAACAAAGAAGTTGCTGTTAGTTGTAAAAATCTATCAGGAGATCTCTAGCCCTGTCTCTATCACCAACTAGTACTGGTCCTTCTTCTTGCTTTCCAACTTTCTTTTCCTTTTTAAATGTTGAATCATTTTATTGGGAGCTCTTACAGATATCATAACACTTCACAGTTCAATCACATCAGCAGTACGGTACAATTGCTACCACAATCAGTTTTGAAACATCTTTCTTCTTGAATTCCTTGATAAAAGCTTCCCTTTATCCCCTCCCTCCCCAACCCTAGCCTCCAGGAATCCTTAATTTCGTCCCCCCATAATAGTTGTTTTGCTTTTGTCCTATCTTACACAAGCCAATATATCCATACACAAACAATTCTGTTGTTCGATCCCATTGCATGTGGTTATACAAGTCATCAATGCTATCGGCTCCCTATTACCTCCTCTCTCCGCCCCCCTCCTTCCCAAACCCTCAGGGAACCATTACTCCTGTTACTATTTCTGAAGGTTTATCTATATATTGGTTTCACATTCATCACCAGTAATTATCAATGCATCTTGGATCAATTTCAAACTGAAGAAGTTGGTAGAATTCTTCAATTCATCATTATTGGCTTTAGTGATTGGTGTATAAATGTGAATAATAGTTGTGTTAACTGGACTTCCTTGTAAGGGTATAGATGGTATCCTATCACAGATAGCATTGTTATTTCAAAACAGATCTTGAAATACTCTTTTTAATGACAACTAAGACCCCATACCTCTTGAATTTCTCAACCCCAGCATATTAAACTATTATTATCTGACTCAAAAAGGCCAACACCAGTCCCTTTCAGCTCACTAATGCCTGTTCACTATGGGTGACCCTGCTGATATTTGAAGTACCAATGGCATAGCTTCCAGCATCACACAAGCCATCACAGCTCAAAAACTGACAAAGATAGTAGGCTTTAAGATGAGGGTACACATTTTTATACACAAATATACATATGAACACAAACACATATACATACATATGCATTTATATGTAGGCGTATTCTCAAAAGAAGTTGGCATGAGGACTAAAACCTAGTGTCTAAGTAGAAGAAAAACTCAATTTTGCATTCTATTCCACCAAGTAGTAATCTTCTTAAAATACATAAAGATGATAATATACGCACAATAAGTCTTAAGTAATAAGACTCACCTGTAACAGCTTTGTTTTGGTGGAAAGATCACACTCCCTCTCTTTCAGCATTTCTTCTACTTTCTTCATTTCATTTTCCTTTGTTTTCAATCTGGAATTTTCAGAGACCTTATATTTAGTTATGTATATAAAAAAGACTCCAGTAACATCTCTAAGACGAAAAAAAGTCTGCCTGCTCTTTCCTTCTATATTACAGCAACTGATAAATTTGTTTTAAAAGACAGTAAGTATTTCCATAACCACTAGCCCCAAACTATATCCTAAATCCGCTATGGCCTATTTAATACTTAACATTTCTTATGTAAGTAAGCTTTAACTAGGAAGAAAATCTAAAATAAAGAGTAGGAGTCTTTTATCAACACACAATAGAGTGTCATTTAAGAAGAAATGAGTTTTCACTCTCAAGAACCTTAGCCATAATTAGTTGACCCCGAAAATTACAATATGCCCAATCCTTGTGCCGAAGAGTTGCTACATGTAAGCTAATTTGGTTTTCCCGTATCCAGCTGAAATATATCTAGTCCAAGTAAATCCCAACTGCCCTCAGCGGCTCGTGCTTATGCTAGACCTCGAGCATAACGTATCATATAAAAATGATCTGTTTTACTATCTATTTCCTCAGGGCAAGAACCCTGTCCAACTCCTATTCCCAGCAGCAAGTAAAAGACCAGAAGGCACAGAAAGAGCTAGACAGTTGTTGAATTGGACATTTTCATTTCAACTTAAATATCGAAAGAGTCTCAAGATGCGTACAAATCTACATAAAAAATGACCTCAAAAAGTACAAATAAGGAGTGGAATTAAAGAATGAACAGGGCAAAAAGAGTATGAGGCAGAAGTAAACCTAAAGTTACATCAATGAGCTACATTCCTAAACACATAAGACCACAAACGAAACTGTAAGTTTTCTATTACACTTGCAAAATGTACCATGACAGTTACAGAATGCCCACAAACAAAGATTTGTCATATAACTGAGCAACCGCAGCGCCAAGAAAAGATTGTCCCTTGACTTCATTAAGATACAGGCGGATAGGCCCTGTGTTACTACTGTCCACTTACAAACAACTTCGACTTGCCCTTTCACTGCATGTAAATTTGCCCTCACTTTTAAACAGCTGAACCAAATTCTACTCAAAGCAAATTTTCCCTCACAATCACCTTCACTTGGTGCTTGTGCAGCTTTTAAATCTTCCACTAAGGCTAACCAAGAACAATATGCACCAGTTTGGGTTGAGCAACAAATTCTTAAGGACACAGAAATGGATCTAACCATTGTAGCCTAGAACTGCCTATTAAATACCCTGCATGTCTCCCTTACAGACAGTTTCAAAGGACCACTTTCTTTCTTTCTTTTTTAAATCATTTTATTAGTGGCTCATACAACTCTTATCACAATCCATACATACACACATCAATTGTGTAAAGCGCATTTGTACATTCATTGCCCTCATCATTCTCAAAACATTTCCTCTCCACTTAAGCCCCCGGCATTAGGTCCTCATTTTTCCCCTCCCTCCCCGCTCCCCCCTCCCTCATGAGCCCTTGATAGTTTATAAATTATTATTTTGTCATATCTTGCCCTGTCCGACGTCTCCCTTCACCCACTTTTCGGTTTTTGAACGAGAATCAGTGAAGACTGATGGCATCATATGAAAGGAGAATTCCTTAAAAGTAATTCTGAGGTCCAGAGACTCCACTCCCTCACACACTGCGGCCTAATTAACCTTAAGAAGAGAAACTTTCTCTGCTCCGATAGACATTATCCCGAATGAGCAACTATAAACAAAGAATGATACTTAGCAGACTCAATATTTTTATATTCAACAATCGGATAATTGCTATAACAACAAATACTACTTATAAATAAGCAAGTTATTATTATAGAATGATACCAATCGTCAAGATAAATATTGTGAATAAGACTATCTGCTGATTAATTTAACATTTACTCTTCAAACTATTAAAATGATTTTGAGATAATTAACTACTCTTTTTAATAAATGTGCTTTGCTAAAAAAAAATAATAATAAAGGAACGGGAAGACAAATAAAATCAGTCTACATATGCAGAAAGAATATATGAACATTCAGGAGGGTCCTGGGTGTCAGAAATAAATCGTGAACACCACCCGCCCCACAAAAAAAGAATTGAACGAATGGGTATGGAGAGAATAGTGTGGTATTTCGAAACATATAAAAGGCCTCTGTTTTATTGTTCCAAATAGAAATGCAATCTCTGAGGTATAATTCCTACTTAAAAACGGAGCTGATTTTGAGGAAAATCCATCATAATATTCAAGGCACATTCTAGAGAGTAACTCAAGTTTTTGTTCAAAATACTGACTAAAAGCATACTTACACAGTCTCAAGTTCTTTAAATCGTGATGCAGAATATGTCTAAGGAACAGATTCACATAATTAATTCTAAACCAAATAGATAAGGTCCTATTAGCATGTATATAGTATCATCTACCAATACAATGCAAACACAATAATATGAATTAAATTTAAAGGTTGGGCTACTTACAATAGAACAAAAGAATGGATTTTCTTTATTAAGCTTAATCTCTAGTATTCATTTCATAAAAGATTGAACATTGATATACCAATTTAACACAGTTAAGAAAGAGCTTTAAGAATTCCACCTGAAATAATAAAGCAAAGGAAATGCTTTTATGTTCCAGGTTGATAGATCAGACAGTAAGTTAAACAACAACAACAACAACAAAAATCTGTGGTACAGCAAATGTTTATAGCAAGTAAACTGAGACCATATTAACTTCCTCACTTTTTGAAACAATAAAGATTTCTTATTCCCTATGTATAGTCAGTGACATGTTGGGCTGCGAACGGCAAGGTCGCTATTGCAAAACCACCAGTCACTTCACAGAAGAGGAGGCTTTCTACTCCCATGAAGATTGACAGCCTCAGAAACCTACCCCGGCCGTTTGACTGGGTCCGACAGGGTCCCTACGAGTCAGAGCCGACTCGGTGGTTTGGTTTGTTTGGAATATACTAGTAATTTATTTGTACTCTACCTCTTTCAAGTTATGCTGTGCTTCCTCTTGGATCTCAGCTTTAAAAGATTTGTTTTCTTCTTGAAGATCCTTAAAAAGAGTAGGTATGAATTTAATTTGATATTCAGGTATCAAAACGAGTTTTGATTTTGTTTTAACTTTTCGTTTAACATTTCACCTGTAAGCATTTCACCCTGTTTGCTAAGTCCTGTTCCTTTTCTTCTAAAACAGCCTTCATACTATTCATCTGTTCCTCCTTTCCTTTTAATCTGATAACAAATTAATGAGAAATAAGTGAAAACTATGACATGTCCATAAAAAGCAAAAGTACCATATACTGAAAAAAAGATACTGTAATACTCAGAGCCCAAAGGGATTAAAAGGAGCTATGTTTTGACATCATTTCAGTGGTGTCATCTTTCACTAAAAGCTATCATAAGTATAAGAGGCATACAAGGTTTTGGAGAATAAATCACTCTAAGAATTAAGGATGACACAGTCAACCAGTTTCACAATACAAAAATGAACAAAGAGCAACATCTTAGTTTAAGGTCATGCACAGATTATAAACCATAAAAAATAAGATTTCTCTGGGTGGGAGGAGGGAGAATTATAGGTTAGATCACTATAAAAACTTGTTAAGGCTTCCCTCAGTCTTTTGAGATACATTTTGATATTCCCACTACTTGGGAATCAAATGAAAAGAAGTTATGACTTTGTAACTGCATTTAACTTTTAGAAAAGCATTATTAAAAGACAATGAAAGAAATGGTATTTACAATTTCTGAAGCTCCTGAACTTGAGAAGTGATGGATAACTAAAATATAAAGAACAGAAAGAACAACTCATCGTTCATTCAATTTATCTAATTAAGCTTTATGACAATTCTTGAAAATGTACAACTTCAAATTACCAATAGCCTAATTAAATTATTCATGCCAAATGAAATGTGTTTTGGTTTCTCCTTCCCTTGACAGTGAGAGTAATATATTAAGCACATAAAGGGGAATGACAGTGCAAGGAGGAGGGTAATAAATGTCTAAAATAAGTGATAGTTCTAAAACTTGTTAAAATTGAAGGAGTAACTGTTCACGTATCTAGCACCTATCAGACCTTTTCTCTATCAACAGTATTCAAAGCCAATTACTTTTCAATAAACACATTTTACAAAGCAAACCCACTGCCATTAACTCATTCATTCACACTCATAACGACTCTATAGAGCAGAATAAAACTGTTCCCCAAGGTTTCTGAGACAATAAACCCTCCTGAGAACTGACAACCTTCCTTTCTCCTACTGTTTAAATACACTGGGCTTCTGTAAATCTTATCATACACAACCCAACAGCACTTCGATCCCCACGCTTCCTTCACAGTCCTTCTTCAGACCTTGGCTTAGATGTCCGTTCTTCAGGGCCAGCCTTTCTGAAATTCTCAATCTTATAACATCCTGTTTGGTCCACACATTACCTCCAATCACTAGCAAATGCTTGACAAGAGGAGGACTCAATAAACTATTGCTGAATCTGTTGGATGGATGAGCGAACAAATCATTCTTCCATGCCATCTCACCACTTTTTACCAATGAAATCTTTCCAGATTAAATTCACCAAAAACCATGTTTGAGTCTGACTAGATCACATCAACCTCTGAAATCCCCAATGCAAGTTCTACTCCGTTCTACAGGCAGAGGTTGATTGATCCATTGAGTCAGTTCATTGTGCCAACCTAGGCGATAAACACGTGGGGTTAATTGAAGGGCGGAGGGATAAATGGTTCAGTGAGCCTCGCCTTTCGAGTTCTCAGGTCTCTTGCTTTGTGATGGTCGCACCAGGGTGCAGCTGCCTTAGCCAGTTCCCTGCTTCAGCTTGCAAGGCTGACTTCCTGTAAGACATCCCCAAGGAGAAGCCACATGGACCTACCCTGATGCAGTCCTGGGTGCTGGAGCACCCGTGTAGAGACCCTTGCCAGCGCTGAGATGCTTACACATTCCCTGATTCAGCTTTCCTCCTGCAACTGTCATTAGAGTGTGTGTTTTGTGAGATGGAGGACTTTGTGGATTGGTGTTGGACATATGGGTTAATGGGCTAATGTTGGACTTGTGGGCGTGGGGAGCACTGTGTTGGAATATTTTCTTGACGCGCACTTAACCTTCTAAAACTCTCTCTTATACATCATTTCTGTGGATTTGTTTCTCTAAAGTACCCAGACTAACACATCCATATTCAACCATTTTGGTCCATGCAGGTAAACAAAAGAATACATGCACTAAGAAAAAAGATTTGAATTACTTATGTGCTTTGTTTTTCAAGTTAGCAAACTAAAATAACTCATTAATATGGGAAACATTCCAGAAAAGATACTAAGTCCTAAAAGATACAGGGATTAAAATATCAATGAGTTTTTCAAATTAGGCATAAACAGATAGATCTAGATAGATAGATAGATAGATAGACAGACAGACAGACAAACACATAGTCCAATATACTGACAGCATACGTCCCAGTTCTTTCCTGGGTAACTGAGAAAGAAACAAACAGAGCCCCTAAAGAACGCACACACTAACAAATCTGTCATGCTGCGGCTCTGGGGTTGTTACCTGTTGAGCCTTTTCAAGCTGGATTTTTCCTACGTCTTCTTTCAGAGCCTCTATTTCCTGTTTCAAATCCTTGACAAGGACAAAACAGACAAGATTGGACAATGGAAACGCACAGAAATTGACACAAAATGCAATGCACGGACAAACACATGAAATTAAACAGTATGAACTACAGTTGGTAAACAAAAAGCATAGTTCTCTCTGTCCCAATACCTGAATGGTTTTTTCCTTATTAGCAACTTTGAGAAGTTCGGCTTCTAGAAGCTCTTCTACAGATTTGATCTTTCCATCTTTCTCATGAATCCTTAGATAAAGAAACATACATTATTAACCTGAAAAAAACTCACCACGATCCACCAACTAAGGTGTAAAAATAACACCAAATCATGTGCGGGCTTCTCCAAATCAACCCTTGCCATTTGAAGCAGAAATGCAGACAGGGGCAGAGAATGAGAAAGGCAGACATACTCTACAAGCTCCTCCTGAATGAGGTATACAAGAAAGTAAAATTTATGTAAATCATTAATGATCGTGTGGCTGGTGCCTAAGTACACTGGAAGAAGTCGGTGATGCTGCTTGACTGTATATGAGGAGCGTAAGAGTTGTAACCCAAATAACACCAAGAAACATCAAATTCCACACAGCATATGGCTTACAGAGCTCCGAGCCTGGGGCAGAACGGATACACAATGAATGCATTAAAGTTAATAAAAACGTTAAGAGGATATGTAAAGAATGGATCTCTCTATTATACGTAGCCTGCTAATAATTTTTACTGTACTAAAATGTACAATGCTATAAAGTAAGAAAATGTATGACACTATGAAAATAGGTTTTGAAGGCTAAATCGTGTCAGCTAACTCACAAATTTTAAGAGCACTAAGAAAATAGACAAAAAGAGACAGACCAGTTTATAATAATGTCATCACTTACACTTTCTTGAGTTCTTCAATTAGAGATACAAAGGAAACCTGGAAACAGAAAAGACGTCCCACTTAGAATATAAATGGGGCAGAACTAGTCAAGGATATTATCCTTCTACTCATCCATCACACCAAAAGCCAAATGGAGAAAACAACCTGAGAATTAAGTCTTTTCTAAATATTTTAATGCCATAATGATGCAAATAACTGGCATTTTGGAAGTAAGCAGCTTTGGCATTACTTACAGGTTTAAGCCAAAAGAAAAATCGTTAGATATTTGTCAAGATTATTAAATTAGTACATCTAATTTATGTAAGGAGAAACTTTTTAAATTGCCTAGTTGCAAGCAGCTTTTTTTTTTACTATTACGTATAGCCTTGTGTTTATGTTCTCAAGTCATCTTCAGCGCTACAGTAAGAAACAGTACCAATGTCTCTAGGGTATGCCACACAATGCCTGGCTACAGCCTATGTTCAAAAAACTCCAACATCACGAATACTGAAATCAATACCTATTCATCAATTAAAACTATCAATGATAATTCTCATTTTGGAATTTGGTGGTTAACAGATACGGTATGTCTGCATGTGACAGTTTACTCACTATTTATTATAAAAAGAGAATTGGTTGTAAGATCGACTGTATACATTACCTGATCACTTTGTTTAGCCTTTAAGTCTCGGACTTCCTTCGTCAGAGATGAGTTTTCTTTTCTTAATACCTTTTTCAAAGAAACAGAAGCACAAAATACTTGCTGTTTTTTTCCCCTGATAAACTAATAGCTACCTTCTCAAAATACGTTAATTTGGGAGTGGGTGGTGGAGGGAGGGAGGAAGTTTGGCACTTCTTTTTCACTCTGGGTCAGAAATCCCACTTCTCCACTGATTCACAGGATGGTAGCTTCTATTGTTAGACATATTAATTTTTCCTTTGATTATTCCCACAAATGTTTCTACTTATATTTCCAGAACCTCAAAAATACACAGTGTAACACTGCCAGTTATACCATTTCCTCTCTACATCCATATATGTACTTCAACATGTTTCTTTTATCCTGTCCATACCAAGTTAGTTAAGGCGAATAAAAATCACAAAATAAACTGAAGTGTTTCTTTTCTACTCTCATATCTTTTCATGAGCTTCTTAAAAAGTCTGCTGGCTATTGTTCCAGTAGGGGGGCAAGATGGGAAAGTACACGAGAGGACTTCAAAAATTCATTGAAAATTCCACTGTCTCTTAATTCTTTTTCTATGACTGTTTTAAGTCCCCTCATATATTACAAAGTTTAACCATGATAGCAACATCATTAAGACAGTGGATGCTACATCCAACTACCTTTAATATAATGAAAAAAGACATGATATAAATTTCTAAAATGCAAATCCTTAATAGCAAGGTTAGAATCTTTGGGTAACCCAGGTACTCATTACAATGAAACCCCTCTTCTGTTCACTGAATTAACCACCAGATAAACAAATCTACAAAGTGTCACCTTTAATTCATCCTCTTTAGTCGCCACCTGAATTAGTCCAGTTTCAAGTAATTCTTCTACAGTCTTTAACTTCTCATCTTTTTCTTGGATGCTGAAATTAAGGTATTTTTAGCACATTTTTTTGCCCCAAGAGAAATGAAATCATTCCAAAATACTTGTACACCAGCCCAATACAACTTTTCATTCTAGCAAAGTTTCTCAGGATTTCTGATGACGGTGTAAAGGTATGTCCATGCACTTCACCAGTAAGTAGTACGTACTGATTTAATACATGTTTCCCTGCTAACCTCAACCAGTACACTGGTGCCACACGTGGCATCTCAAATCATAACGTAATCCCAAAGAAATCAATAGCATACTGCTCTCTTTCATTACAAAGTACAAACGGTACTTTGAAAATCTAGACTAATAATGCAGCTACTTATTCCAGTATCTCCAATTTGTGAGAAATAGGTTATTAAAACATAAAGAATTTTAAACTCTTACCATTTTTCCATTTGTTCCACAACATCTTTATTAGGCTAAAAGGAAAAAAATCAAAAAAAGTTTAATTTTATCCAGTTTTCATGAAGTAAAAAACTATATTAGGAAAACAGTTCTGTAAAAATTCTGTTAAGATTTTAATTAGACACAAAACTTAGGACAAGGGCCTGTGTTTGACGACTGCTAGTCCTCAGAGAATATTTAATTCAAAAAAGACACGAAGATAGATACAAGACACCAAAAAATGATGAGGTACAAAATCAGCAGGCAAAATGAATTCCTGTATTAGGGGTGATTTTTCAAATTACCATTAAAAAAAGCCCCTTAGCTTGAGGATAAGAATCTGTCTGCAAGAGCAGCTGGTAGAAGCTAAACATGGACCATTTATTTCTGTTAGCAGACACGTCCTTGACCCTTAAGCCCACCAGGGCTCTGTAAACTCACGATTCTAAAGACCTCACCTATTGTTACCAAGTTGATTCCAACTAAATAGTGACCTTACAGGACGAAGCAGAATTGCCCCAAGGGTTTGCAAGGCTGTAAATCTGTATGGAAGCAGACTGCCACATCTTTTACATGTGAGACGCTGGTGAGATCAAAGTGCCAACTGTTTAACCAGCAGCGCAGCACTTAGCCAGTGTTCCCTAAATCCATGATGGCACTACAGCAAATGTTCCTCTAGTCCTTGCCCCTTGCTTTATACACGCACAGGATCATACTAATTCTCTGACTACACCATTTTGCGACACATTGCCACGGCTTTGAAGACTGTAGCTATGTGGAAAATTCATGGACATTTTCCCAAATCCTTCATAGTAATCCATCCTTTCTTTCAAACAGAATTCATTACTTCTTCCTATATACATATTTCAATAACTTTATTCATCACATTCTTCTATTTTTTCATATTGAGCCATACCCAGAGGACAGGAACCAAGTTTCATTCACCTCTATAGCCTTATCATGTACCTGGCATATACTTAATTAGTAAATAAATATTTGATGAACTGAATTTCTTTAGTAAGTTTACAGTGGGTTAAGTGTTTGGCTGGTTAGACAAGGTTGGTTGTTCAAAGACATCAGCCACTCCCCATAAGAAAGATGAGGCTGTCTGATCCCGTTAACATACACAGCCTCAAAAAACGTAAGGAACCGTTCTACTCTGTTCGAGAAAGTAGCTGTTAAGTTATTAACACTTCATCCAATATTCAATTGCACAAAATTGACTCAACTTAACACTCAACAATTTTATTTCACGTTTTATTGATCTCAAATATGCAACCCTATTGCCTCCTCTCTGGATGATTTTCAAAGCTATGTCTCTGCAATACAATCAGGAAGCAAGATGGAGAGATGAAACGTCTTACTCTTGTAGTTTTTTAATCATCCTAACCACTGAATCCTAAACATCTACAAGAAAAATAATGTTGTTCCTTTGATGAAGTCAAGATATTTAAAAAAGTAGGCCAACTTAGAATCTCTCCACCCCTGGAAAAAAAGGGAGGGAGGGGATGTTTTACATTAAATGAAAATATGACATCTTAAATAACTGATTTATTTGCATCATGTGACCATTTATAGGGCTACACACAAATAAAATCTGCCCTTTAGTGCATAAACAAGTTACCTTACCTGTTTCTGCCTCCTACACCTGAAGAAACAACCACCTGGCATCATCAGATCTGGCTTCCACTTTCATAAACTCAGTCTATTCCCACAGAATTAAAACAGAAATCCATGGGGGCAAAGAGATTGAGGGCTTTACATAACTAAACTGTTCACCTCTCAACTGACACTTGGAATTCTGACTCATGGGTAGGAAGGGGTTAAAGAAAGGTGGACATGAGAGAAATTAAAATCATACAAAGCTTTACTTCTTTCACTAGTAATACCAATAAAAATGAGTACAAAAAAAACTGAAAATAGGTTCCTTTGGTCTGCTAAGATTAAATAAATAATAACAGCTATACCCCAAAACATATAATCAAGTGATTTCCTGACTATAAAAGGGGAGGGGTGAGGAGAGAGGGCTTTCAGAACTAGAAAAGCCATTCTAAGAATTTCCAATGGTAGATCATAAATTGGTGTCACAAAATAATGACTTTCCCATCTTGCAAAAGTATTCTTTTAAATAAATCCAAGAATGTGACTATGGACTGTATTGACTTTTTTATTCTATACATTGTATTAACAATATTTCGTTCTTAACAAAAATCCGTGGCATACTGAAACTGTTACGCTATTGTAATAGCTTCAATACATAGAAACTTTACAGTAAATAAAGGGCTAACTCAGTAAGAAGTAAATCTTTCTAAAATGTTAACTTTGACATGTGCTAGGAATTTTACGTAAGATATTAAATTAACAATTCTTAAAGATGGTATTATCTTTAAGGCACATAAAATGCTAAAGTTGTTGAGTTTACTACTGTCTAATAATGGAAAATAATACCTATCACTAAAGAACTGTTGTTAAAAGGTTGATTTTTAAAGTTTTAAGGTTTTTTGTTTAAACCTAAGTTTGAGTTACCAGCACTAAAATACTGGAATTCTAATGATAGATTCAGAAATTTCTAGGCATTTGTTTTAAACTCCACAAAGTTAATTTTAGAAAGTTTAAGACTTTATATATGCAATAGAAATATGGTTCAGAATCTCTGGTAACCAACAGAAAAACAGCACTGGACTCCTCCAAGTAAGAATTGGCACAATGACAGTATCTGCCACATTTATCAAATTCAAACCACACGTGTGCATTTTATGTGTATCACAACAGATTTTATTTATTTTTTTTTTATTAAAAGATCATTTTATTGGGTTACAACTCTTTTTTTTCTTTTTAAAATCATTTTACTGGGGGCTCATACAACTCGTATCACAATACATACATGCATCCATAGTGTCAAGCACATTTGTTGCCATCGTCATTCTCAAAACATTTTCTTTCTACTTGAGTCCTTGGAAATCAGCATCTCATTTTTCCCCCTCCCTCCCCACCCCACCCCTCATGAACCCTTGATAATATTATAATTATTTTTTCATGTCTTATACTGTCTGACGTCTCCCTTCACCACTTTTCTGTCGTCCGTCCATCACAACAAATTTTAAATGCTGCTAACTAAACTGTAACTAGAGACCCTAAGACACATCCAGATTTTAGATGTGAGGAAGGGAAGGGAAAGTTTAGAGGTGATGAATATTCTTCTTTAATTATTATTAATCATTTTATTAGGAGCGCTTACAGCTATTTTAACAATCCATAAATTCAATCAGATCAAACAAAATCGTACAATTGCTGCCACCATCAGTTTCAAAACATTTTCTTTCTGCTTGAACTCTTTGATATCAGCTCACTTCCCTTTATCCCCTCCCTTCCCCACCCTAACCCCCAGGAACCCTTTTTTATATTATTATTGTAATTATTGTTATTAATTTTTGCCATATCTTACACCAACCAAAATATCAATGCACTTGCCATTTTGTTATGTTACCCTCAAGTGTGGTTATACATTCATCATTGCTATCAGCTCCGGTACCACCCCCCCACCTCCATCCCCTCCCATACCCTCAGGGAATCATTATTCCCGTTACTGTTTCTGAAGGGTTACCTATCTTAGCTTTCATGTATCAAACGATCTTGATCATACAAATGCACATATAAAGGTCCAACAATATTAATGAGGTAAAACAAAGACCATAAGAGTAGGAGGAGGACGTATTGAAGAACTGGAAGATAGCCATGTGTTTCATCAGTGCTACACTGCTCTCTAGATTATCATCCTGTTCACGTGGTCTGTGAGGAGCAGAAGGATTTCTCTTAAGTTGTCTCCCCAAAATATGTACCAGACTTAGCTTGAGAATGATTGTTCACTAGGCAGCGAAAGTAGGTCAGAGGTTATTCTCCCTAACATCAGCCATCAAGAGTGGATTGGGAGTCATTCTCACTGAGAGGTATCAGCTGTCTAGATCAAGCAGACACCACTGCTTATCCCACAACAAATAAAGCCCATTCCTTTCTGTTATTGTTCCCTTGAAGCAGTGCCCATAGGCAAGCCCGGGACCACTCTAAGATGACTAAGCTTAGGCTACTATCTTGCCACACATGCCCCCCTATTCCCTCCTCCTACTATTGCGGTTCACCCCTAGGTCATCCCCCTCCTATTGCTTGTATTGCCTATGTTACAACCCCTCTCTATGACGTAGGTTGTTATCTGCTATCAGGGGGCTTGCATGCCTCCCAGGATAGTAATTGCCTGCTTTATTGTATGAGACACCAGAATGATGAAACCTGTTCAAGGATGAATTGTACTGCCCCTTTCTGTGATGCATAATGCTGTGATGTATCCCCCTAAAGTAATATGATGGGTGGTTAGCAATAAATAAGGAGGCTCCCTGGTTCTCGGGAGTGTGGCTGGCCAAGGGTGGCTGGCTGAGGGCGGCTGAGGAAGGAGGGCTGCTTCCCCCCGTGAGGGCGGCTCCCATGAGGGCGATGGATGGGAGGGCTGCTCCCGCGAGGGAGGCGACTCCTGCTCTGCAGCCGGGTTCCCCCCACGAGGACCACCAAGCGGGGCGGAGGTGAGCAATGCTACCATGTAATATGTCTGACTGTATTATTGTATTATCTCTCATGCTCTCGATGACATTAATATAATACTTATATATCTCAACCGTACAATTGTGCATTACTGAACCCAGAAGTAGTATTACTGAACCAGTGAGTTCAAGCAGCGGGTGGGGCTGGCCCCCCACTCCCCCCGTGTCACTTTCAATTTAACACTACAGTGGCCCATCTGTGAGGGACTGTTCAATGATCTGACAGGTGGGTTCCGAGTCTCTGCTTCGGCCATGCTCCTTCACATCAATGTGAATGCTTAGTTTTGAACTTCTGATACCTAGTCCTGCAGACACCTCATGATTGTACAGGCTGGTATGCGTCTTCTATGTGGGCTTTGTTGCTTCCCTGCTACGTGGCTGCTTGTTTATTAACTCCAAGACTTTAAGACCTTGTATGCTATATATTATAATTGCCAGGCACCATCAGCTCTCTTTACCATATTTGCTTATGCACCCATTTTGTCTTCAGCGATCATGTTGGGAAGGTGAGTATCATACAATGCCACATTATTAGGACAAGCCGTTCTTGTACTGAGGTAAAGTTTAAGAAGAGGCTCAAAGTCCATCTGCTTCCTTGTTGTATTTACACACACACACCAACCTGTTTATAACTTATGTTTACATATATACAGATCTATATTTATATTTATATAAATCATTTTTACTTTCTTCTTTTCTCCTGCCCCACTATCATGTTTACCCATTGTTCTCCTCTCATTAATTCCTCTCGGATACATTTCGATTGATCAAACATGACCAGGACGCTACACCCTCCTCACCGTCAATTTTAGAACCCTGTTCTTCCACTGTCTCTGTCATTATTGGCTCAGTGCTCCTTTCCCCTAGCCTCCTCCACTCCCATAAGCCCCCACCCCCACCTCCAGCTGTCGGTCCCACTGCTGTCTTCCTCAGGCTTGCTTATCCTGCCTATCTTCTATAGATAGACACCAAAAGAGAGAAAAGGGAAGGGAGCAGGGGAAGAGGCCTCACACAAATAGTCCCAAGTCTAACTATTCTCCTGACCCAGAGTGGATGGGTATCTCTGTTACATAGTTGGACCAAGGCAATATTCTTTTTTTAAAAACTAGTCTACAACAAAGAAAACTACGAGTATGATTTAAGAATCAGACTTACATCTAGTCCCTGAACTGAGTATCTCTCAACATTTTCTCCTGTTATCTTTAGTTTGCAAGGGTAATGATATGCAAAGTAATAATTAAAGAGGAGGCATAAAACTTCGTATGCAAAATATTTCTTGAGAAGTAAACAATTTACATAAATTCAATGTCTGCATAAATATGAATTTTAAAATAAAAGAAAAAGAATGCATACATCTACTAAATGGAATCTATCGCTTATAGTAATTTGCATTCCAGTTTCTTTAAAAAGTGTATTACAAAAACAACAGGATTACAGAAACCCGCAGCCTACGTTGTAATGTGTCATCTACCATCAAGAGTTAAAAACTAGAATTTGAAGAGTTTTATGGAGAACAGTATGAAGCAGACACTTAGGAACAGCCAAAGCACAGACGCCAGCTGGGCTCCGGTTTACAGCCCCATACCTAGTCAGGCTGCTGTCGTTCTAACAGCTTGGTATCATTAAAGACTGAAGGGTGGGCAAGGGTAGGAGGGTACAAATGAGATGGAAAAGCATAAATGTTCTAAGGACTAGGAATTAAATCTTAATGCCTGCTATATGCAGAGCACTAGGCTAAGCACTTTACACAAAGTTCCTTTTTAAATCTAACAACCTCTGATGTAAGAGAGGTCTCAGAAGAAACATGATCAGCATCACTCTGCTTTTAAGTCCTGGCAGTAGGTTTCACCTCCATCGGTCTAATACTCCGTGCTACCTGAACAGGGAAGGATGGGGCAACAAAGGTCTAAGCTAGCTTCAAAATACATCAAAATAGTTAAATAAAATATTTTAATGCACCTTATCACATGGGGTGGGAGGGGAGTGTTGCTTATGAATAAATTAGCACTGACCACCTCAGAGAGGAAACTTCATTTTTCAAAATTTATACTTGATAAATAAAAAGATGAACAAAAAATGCAATTAAAAGAAAAACATAAGCTGATGCAAATTTTTTTCAAGATCAGGGAGATGGTTACTATTTAAGAACCAGATTTTATATATTGGCTATTTCTACCTCATAATTCATGAACACCTTACCTGTTCAGAAACAAGGGTTTGTAGCTTCTGAACTTCTAGTTTTAATGATTTGTTTTGGTCATTTAAAATCTGGAAGAAAGAATCTCAACTTAATATTTTATAATAGAACAAGTAAAAAGTGTGAATATTTAAATGGATTTTTTTAAAAAACCAAATCCATATTATTGCTCAAAGTGCTCATAATGTGCATCATTGCCCACAGAAACGTACTCGGGTGATGAGCATGCTTAGGAATACTCAAACTGCTGCCTGTAACCAGAGATTAGTACTGTCACGACACTGAAGGCAAATGCCACAGTCACAGTGCAAAGTGAAATTGCAGAGGAAAAAATGGGACAAAGTATATCTCAAATGTCTACCGAAAGAACAAATACAATTGAGTTAGTAAAGTCTCTGACAAAATTCAATGTTTTACGAGCCCCCGAATAAACTTTAAAAGCATTGTGTCAGAGTGACTTCATCTAAGTATAAGGTGACCAGACGTCCCGCTTTTGGGGGGACAGTCCCGATTTTTAACAATTTTTCCCTCGTCCTGCGGCATTATTAAAAAGTTCCATTTTAGAAAGAATGCACGACAAGCTAGGGTATACGGTTTTCGGCCGCCATGTGGCTATTTCGCCAGGATGAGTTTTATCAATGGTGTCCCGCTTTACCAATGTTAAAATCTGGTCACCTTATACGAGTAGTACTTCCAAAGTAATTCCAGCAATTATACAAGGCTGCTTTAAGAAAACTATCACTCATCAAAATAAGTTTACGTGTTTTATCACACACCTTAAATTCTCCCATTTTGTTTGAAATCGCACATTGTAGCTTATCCTCAAGCAGTCTTATTTTATCATCCTTAACATGAACACTGTGGGAAAGAAAACCATGAATGAAAACACATTCAAATAGTTTACACTGGTTACACACAACTCTCACTTCTAAACAACAATATTTTCAGCAATATAATCACCTCTTTTGCATCTTCTCCAGTTCGTGCGCAGCAGCAGCCTGTAGTTGGAATCAAGATGAAAATTATATTTCCCAAAAAACATTCAAACCTATGGTTTCATGTATGCTTTATAAACTGAAGTTATATTTCTATGCCTTGATGTAAAATAAAGTTATAGCAATATTATGTGTTTCTGTAGGTTTTTTGATGCTAAATATTTTTGACTTGTCACTGATCAACATTTGTCCTTATAAAAGTTACACGGCCTCACTGGATTTACCAACACAAAACAAAAAAGACCACACAAACATTAAGATAGTTTTAAGTGATTCTTTTGATATCCTGGGAGTGATCAATGGCTTGGGTTGAACAACTACTTCCAACATGAAAACAGTAACATCTGGGTAGGCAGGTCAATCCATAGACATGGCCAAAGAGAAGACGGTTCCGAAAGCACCTCATGCAGACAGACACAGGCAACCTTTATAGTTATCATCTCCATGAATACAATGAGGAGGCACAATAAACCCAATTAACAATAAGTACAGGAAAACTGAAATTTTGAGTTTAATTCTCAAAAGAAATAAATATCTACCTGCTCATTGGTGAGGGCCTGTAATTTTTGTACTTCAGCTTTTAATAAGAAATTCATGTTCTGTATATCCTAGAACAAGAAAAAAAATTGTATTAGTGATATTTAATATAACTGACACTGGAGATTGTAAATCTCAAGTGACGTTTCTTAGGTTAAATTAGAAAGCAAAACCATCAACTGCTATTTTTCAGTATATTTCTCAATTAAATGACGGTGAATAATACCATGTGGGAAAAGTCCCTGCAGCTTTTGTTCTGACAAGGCTGAAGAGAATTTGATAGTTTATAACGAGATGGACAATTTTCAAGTGTGTTCTAGATTATTTTCCATTTTTCACAATCATTCATACTCTATACAAAATTCAATCGAATCCTACAAAATGCTGGAGTCATTTATAAGAATAACTATACCTTAAGTTCTTCCTCTTTGCTTGTTAAATGATCGAGTTCATTTGCTAAAGAGTCTTCAGTTTGTTTTATCTGCTTATCTTTTTCTGCAATCCTTTAACAAGAAATACATTTGCTAAATAAACTCTTAGAAGGCAAATCACAAACCAAAGGGTGAAACTCTTAACTAGGGTTATCCTTACTGAGGAAGTCTCTCGGGCTGCACCTTTCATTTCCCACACTTTGTTCACTGACACATGCATTTCTATAACCCTTTACACCCCATATACCTCTAGTTCTAAAATTCAAGGTCAGGGAAGTTAGGGAAAAGTAGCCACAAACTTATGATGATGTATCTGAGTTACATCCAAGTCCACTTTAAGACCTCCTGGGAGTTTTAGTTTACATGTACAGGTGGGTTTTGTTTTGGTGTTTCTCATCATTAGTAATATGTACTGTGAAGGGGCTTCCAAAAGCTCACAGAAAAGCAGAATTAAAAGGCAATGAAAGTTTTCCACAAAAGTTTCAAAGGCCCCTTGTACATAAACTGTTGCAGCACATAATTTGTTAATGTTCACTCACAGATGTTCAAAGTTTTATGACTTACTGTCCAAAACACTGCCACATAGCACGCTACAGAAAAAAATTTTTAAAGAGGCATTTGACTAAAGTGAGAACCAATTTACAACAGAGTCATCAGAACAGAACTCCATCATAAATCCAGGACTGCCTGTAATTGGTGTAAGCTCACAGGCCAGATTTCAGATCTTGGGAACTTGAATGCCCCATGTCAATACAAAAACCCAGAACTTTTAGGTATACCTCTGTATAGCTAGATGTAGAATGGCTACAGCTACTTATTAGATATAAAAACTGACTTCCCACAACTCCCAGATCACAATTACTTCTCCCATAAGTGCTAAATCTCAAATGAGAGAAAGCTTCCCCATATCTTTTTACAGTAAAGACATTAAACACACAAATACCTAATGTTTAAGAGGTGAAATTCATTTATAGAAAAAAGAGAAGAAATTGTTCAAACTCTAGTTAAGAACATTTTCTTAACAAGTCAGAGAATAGAGTTAAACACAAGGGATCAGTTATTGATGACTGAGCAAATATAACACAAGGGTGGAAAGGCAGGCTTACACTTTATGCAGTTCTTCTAGAACTGAAGCAGAGGTCTAAGGAAGAAAAAACGGTGTCAACATTTAAGAGCACTCAAGAAAAAGTTTAAAAGCTATATAATCATCATCACAACAGAGTTTAAAATTAGGAGAAATTAATGTATATAGTTAAGCAGTATCTGGCACGTGGCTGAGTGGGCAATAAACAATAGCTATTATGCAAAAAGCAAGTTTGATCACCAACAGCCAGTACTAGGAAACTACCTATTACCTATTACCTACATTGCAAATGAAGCAACTTGGTACCACCTGGAAACTGATAGTCAACAAATAACAGCAACAAACCTTGTTTTACTTCCCTGTGCTTCTCTCTTTTGTAACAACTTTCAGTAATGAAATCACCCACTTCAGGACCAAGGTAACCACTCCTTGATAATACCCATCTTGTCTTCCCATTTTTAAAAAGTACTTAACTTCGAGCATCTTTAAGTACTTAATTCCAAATACATTTTCAAGAGTTATCTCTCAGCTAATAATTTAAGATTTCAATCAAATCTGAATTGATATTTTACACATATATAGACACTCAATCACTTACAAATATCTTTTCCTGTATTAAATAATTCTTTCCCAATTAATTTTACACTATAATTTCAACAAAGAAAACAATTTGGCTGTGGGGAAGAGTTTGCCTGCTCTAAACTTTTTTTTTTTTTTTTCTGCTCTAAACTTAAAAGCTAAACTCATCTGGACCATAAAAATGTTTTTAACAATAACACAACTTTATTATTTTTATAATATTCACATTTTAACATGAACATATATAGTACACAATATTTCTACTTAAATAATCTAATTTTTTTTTTTCATTTAAAAATTTTCCAATTACTGCATTTTAACTCATAAAGTAAGCACGTGGCAAATATGTGTTGTTTGGGGATTTTGATCTTAGTTTTTTTTTTTGTTTGTTTTTTTATCATTTTACTGGGTGCTCTTAGAACTCTTGTTGCAACCCATACATCAATTGTATCCAATATATTAGTACATATATTCCATCATTCTTTTCTAGACACTTACTTTCCATTAAACCCTTGGGATCAGCTCCTCTGCTTTTCCCTCCCCCAACCCTCATGGCCCTTTGATAGATTGTAGATTATTAATTATTTTCAAATCTCACACTGACCGCTGTCTCCCTTCCCCTCTGGTTTCTGTTGGTCTTCCCCCCGATGGGGGTGTGTGGTTATGTGCCATTCACTGCGATTGGTAATGACACCACTTTACACACAGAAAAGTCAGATTTCTAGTAAACCAATGCTTGTTTGCCACAAACAACTTTTAGAATTTTAACACTGAAAAACAAAAATTGAAGTTTACAGTACCTATAGCAACAAATGTTTGGAGATTTTTACCTTTTCTTAGTATTATTTTTGTTCTGAAACACATATAGAATATTATAAAGTAATGTAGCTAAAAGGTTTAGTACCACCTGGCAAATGTTCACAATTTCTCATTTACTGAACTTAAGTTCAGATTTAAAAGGATTCTTTTTCAAACATAATCTGAAAGTGATGGTTCACTACCTCCTGAGGGCATATAGGCTTTCTGCCATGTCTAGTCCATAAACCAATATTCTAAATAGTGTTTGGCCAATTCCTCTCATGTAACACTACTGTAGACATGTTTCCCACCCCTGTTGTGGTAAAACCACTCTAACTCACCTACCAATTAGTCGTATTTGGATTTCTTTCTAGTGTAATTAGCAATGTGCACAATTACCTGAGTGCTCAGCACATGGATGATCGTTGTTGATTCACTGGACTAGACTTCTGACAGCCAGCCCAGTGCTTGGCACTCAATGGGCACTCAGATGTTTACTCCCATGGGTTGGAAGCTATAGCTACTGATAAGAAGTTTTTAAACACCATTACCTGGGCCGCTATCTGAGAATGGAATTGCTGGATTTGACCTTTCAAGGCCTCATTCTGCTCCAAAATATCCTTTCAAGATAAAAAAAGGGGTAGAGGGGGAGTATGCTATTAATAAATATACAATGTATTGGAACACAGCAATTGACTGTACATTTATCTTTAGAAAGGCATTATATTTTCAACAATGATCTCACATTTAAATCTCAGAGACAGTTTATAAGGTAAAGATGAAGAATACGTTGTGCTACTCCTAATCTACGGTATAAGCTCGAGTATAAGCCAAGTTTTTTTCGGCACATTTTTTGGGCAGTTTTTGTGGTAAAATTTGGTGCCTAGGTTGATATTCAGGTCGGCTTAAACTCGAGTATATACGGTAATTCAAAGAGTCCATGACTGTGGGTAACTACATCTTCAAACATACTGTACTGATTGCCAGGTTTTGAAAATTGTTTAAAAGTTAAGGTACAGTTTCTCATCACCACTTCAGACATGGGATAAGGCAGATGGTTCCACCACCAA